CCCTTCTGAAGCTGCTGCCCCCGCGACCCGACCCCGGATAGGCGGAAGAAAATGGATGGATGGATGGATGGATGGATGGATGGATAATCATGGAAATTTCTGATTATTTTTTCTCACAAATTTACGACTTTCCACATAATTACAAAACATTTTTGAAATTTAAAATTTCTGAGTTTTTTCGGCAGAGATTTACGCCTTTTTTCATCTGCAAAATGGCCGTAATACACCGTCGTAGTAGGACTCCTTCAGGGTTCCGTTATTTTACTATGACAGGAAGTAAAAATGCTGAAGTTGCCACCGTCAATGAGGTATATTTACTAGAGGCTACCCCAGTCAAAAGGCTGGGGCCAAGAAATGCTGAGCGTGACGCCAGTCTATTCAAAGGGATGGGGCTATTCAAATGATGTAAACAATGCTGAGTACTTACCAGATTAACAGGTTTTTCTTTTTAGAGTAGCCCTGATTTACATATACTCTATAACAAATTTACACACAGATAGTTGAAAGAAAAAGTTTATTTTTCCATATTATTTTAACTAAAAAATTTTTATTTTTATTAACAACGTAGTCAAAACAAGTAAAAGAAAGTATACTAAAATTACATTGTCAAAACACAATCCAAAAACCAAGGTTTAAAGCATCATTTTGAAAACACTGTTTAGAAATACACAATAAACTAAAAAAAATTAAATAAAAAACAAAATTGTGTTCAATTATAAGATTGACAATCATTTGTAAAATAAATGCAAGTCCATAGTTATTCTGTACTTTACTGTATTTATTAGTGTTTTTTTCCTGTATTGTTTAATTATTGGCCTTTGAAGAGAATGAGCTTAAGTCAGTTTCCGATGAACAGACTCTTTTTTTAAGCTGTGAGGTGTGTAATCTGGCAACATGTTTCTGTCTGATGGTGTAGTAACTGTTCATCAGGAGTTGGATGAGGTCAAGGTAATGGCTGTCCATGCCATATTGAGACTCCACTATATGTTTTCCGAGGCACAATGGATCGATATCCCCACGTTCATTTTTTAGACCAGCACTCTGTGTCGGGAGCAGACATTTGTTGCATTGGAAATATTCATGAAAAGTCTGATGCCTTTTTCTGCTGCAGTTAAAAGGTGCACTACACTTTGTGAGGGTGTAACATCCCACCTTTATTTTTCATTTGAAACAGCTGATACAAATTATCATATTGAGATTAGACAGCATTAGAGACCAAAGATGATTTACACACATCACAACACACCTCAGTTACAATCTGACGCACCACAAAACCTGCAATGTATGTTATGATGTTCATAGCAAACGGAGCAAGTTTTGGTGAGATCCATGTGCTGTACGTGTGGTGGATGTTGTCCATAAAAGTAGACTCAGCTGCTTCATGTGGCATGACATCATCGACCTGGAGACACTGTGTGCTGTCCATGAAGACAACATTTAGCTGAAGATGGTGATACCCCGCTGTGCACAATCTTCTTACCGAAGATTGCCATGAACTGACGACAGCTTGGGTTGTTGTTAAATCCACCTGCATAATCATACATCCTAAATATCACTAGGTCTGTTAACAACTATGTTTCACAAATCATAGCCCAAAAGTACACTTGAAATTGAAAGCAAATTATAACTTACCCGCTTTGCGTACTGCACCGAAGAACAGCTCCAAGGGATCTTGGCTCAACTTGTACGTTAACAAGAAACTTTGGTTGGCTAGAACTTCTGGTACCAATCTGAACAAACTCTCCATGTTGACAATGAAGCCAAACACATTCAAGTACCTGTAAACATAAATCATTTATCAGTTCAGCTTGTTTTTTTTTTAATTCACAGTGCACAAAAATAGCAGTGACCTGAAAGCATGTCTGTAAAATAGTTTCCTCAATTTATTGTTATTTACATTCTGTGGGACATGATCAGTGAGCGGTTAATACTGGAATAAATTTAGATAGATAAAAATATTACTTCATGTGAAAAATAAACATATTTACTGTTACAGAGCTTTAGTAAGCAATCCACAAAGCAAATGACAAGAGATTTTTCCTTTCTTTTTTCTTTTACTTAATAAATTTAGATAAATAACAATGCGTTTGTTGTGTAAATATTACATACATGGTACAAAACTTTAGTAAGCATTCAGGAGTGCAAATCAACACTTCTGTCTTTATTTCAATGGCACACCTTGACTCAACAGAAATACAAAAACACAAACAAAAAGTTTAATTTCACCCTCCAGCAGTGGGAGATTTCATGTAGTTCACAATTGATTTTGATCCATTTCTTGTCAGTACTAATTCTGAACATAAACACAGAGCTAAACATAGCCTTCTTATTTAAAAGAAAAAAAACTTACCAGTGAAATCTTATGAGGTCCGAACATTTTCCACTACGATTGCTGCAAGCGAACACTGCAGTGACACGGCATTGCGGGTCTGTGTTCAACGGTGAATGGTTGAATTGGCTACCGGCTACCGTCTAATGCATGTAGCACTTCTCAAGATGGCAGCACAGACTCTCCTTCCGTTAGCGGGTCTGTCCGTTCCAGTGGCCCCACCCTCACAGGCGGAGTCAAACACTCAGCTCGATCTGTCTGTCCGGGTCTAAGCTTCGGGTATCTCTGCTTCTGGATACTTTGAACTGTGTTCGTCCTCCGGTCCGTAGGCAAGCGGCGGATCTTTGGGCTTGTGGACCTGGCCTGCAGCGCTCCGGAGACTGACCCAGTGCAGTTCTCCTCTTCCACGGCCCCAGACAGAGGCCAAGACCCGGACCGAGGCCTGCAGTGCACGCTGAGCCTCCCGCAGGCCTCCGGCCCGGACTCCTGCGGTTCTTCAGGAAAATGGACGGTTTTACCGGCAGTTTAGGTGAGTCCCGACCGAGCACCAAACTTTACCTGCTCGTCTGTTCACGCAGTGGCGGGAAACAGGCCGCACGCGCCACGGGCAGCGTTACACGTGTCACTGCTGTTTTTGTCAAGACGCTGCACCGCCCCTCGAGGAGCTGCAGGGCCACAAAACAAACTGCTCCACCTGCATAAGGCTATAATGCACAGACCTGGACACGTCCTGTAAACAGGACCTGGTCGGTCTGAGGATCCAACTAGACCCGGATCTGTCTAACCGCTCAACATGACTCTACACCGCCACTCCGGGCGCTGCAGGGCCAATAAACTAACTGCACCATCTACAGGAGGCTCTGCACAGTCCTGGGCTCCAGAGCGACACTCTTTGAAGTAGCCGACACACGGTCACGTGGTTCATGGAGCTCTCAATAGTTCCAAACAGAGCAGCACCGTCAGTCTGTCTGAGCGGACAGAACGCTGAAAACTACATTTTTTTACTTTCCCCGCGACTTTCAGGAATTATTGATCCATAATGAACTGATGACTGGTTACTTCACTGACTATACATTTTATCAAAGCATTTGCTGCAAGGACATTTTTCAGTGTTTTAATGAGGGAAACGAGACTGCATCATAGAATACATACAAACTACAGATCATATTTATTGATAAAAAAAATAAGCATCTACAATACTCTGATCAATATAAGCATGTCTACACTGGTTTATAATAATGTTATTTACATTAAAAATGGAATAACTACCCATTTTAAAGCTTTCTGGTGTTAGCATGCTAGCATAAATTCTATACCTGTTTAACATGCAGCTAAGAGCTCTGCTCCAACTTACCTTCAGATCTACAGCCTACAACAAAATGTTTACATGATTTATTGTCCCACTCATGTAGCAGATATCAGTCTGTTATCTCCTTGAATCCCTATCTTGAATAATGATAGGGGAAACGCTGAGGAGTATACCTCTGGACCCCCCTAGAACAGATTCAGTCCACTGGTTAACGTGAACAGTTGCTCCTCATGATGACAGCTGATGTTGGCTGTTATGAGGACGAGGTCTGGTATACTGTTTCAAATGAATTTTGTTAACTATTTTAATTGGACAAACTGGTTTCTTAAGGTAAAACCATAGTATTAAAGACAAAACTAATTTTATATGTGTATGTATTTAAATTGGCAGTGAGATTTAGAAAATTCCACAAGAGGTCCTACCTGAAACCTGGGTGCACAGAAAGGTGTGTAGGACAAATAAAAAAGGAGTGTTCCTGAATTCAACAACCCCTTGTTATGAAAATGCACTGACACTAGGGTGTACACCCCACATTCTGAAAACCACTGTTCTAAACCAACATACAGGGGATCAAGGGCAGAGTGGGTAATCGGGAGAGTCTGGACGATTCCCGTTGGGCCACAATATATATAAAACGTTCTTTTGTACTTTTGTTATATTCATTTGCAGTACAGCAAAAATTAGGGATGGGTACCGAATTCGATACTTTTTTATGCACAGACCGAATTCTTTCGGTACTACTGAGTATCTATTCACGTAACATCAAACGGTACCATGTTTCATTACCTAAACAGGGGTAGACATAAGGAAATTTTTCAGGTTGTCCAGCAAAACCTGGTTGTCTGCAAAACATTTTGGTTGTCCAAAAGAATCTCAAGAAAAATGTAATTTGACAAGTATATTGTTTTGTAGACGATGTTTATTTTATATATAGTGGGTAAAATAAGTATTGAACACGTCACCATTTTTCTCAGTAAATATATTAATAGAGGTGCTAATGACATGAAATT